ACTTATTGAGGGGACTCTTCAATCCTTTCATTGCGAAAGTATTCGTCCACCCCTTTTATGAGTTATTGCCCCTGAAAGTTTTTGATGTTTACGAATAATTAAAAATTTTCAAAATGATAATTCGTAGAGACATGGGACCAACTGCATAAGATTCATTGACCTTTGACCTTAAAATATATGCAAAGGTCAAAGGTCAAGGTCATTGAAAATATAAGAAATTAGGCTCTTTTTATATCTCTTTTGTCTTTCAATATATATTAAATATCTTTGCATCATTAATATGTCCTCTTAAAACTATTTCAAAGATTTCATACTAGTCCCCGGAAATTTACCCCTTTAAAAGTTATTGCCCCTTTTACTGAAAAACTTGTTATCGCTACTCCTCCGAAACCGTAAACTGTAGAGACACAAAACCTTCACTAATGTCTTCAGGGTCTTTAGACACAACTTCAATCTATTTAGTGCGAAAGTATCCGATGACCCCTTATATGAGTTATTGCCCTTTAACGTCTTTGCACTTACTATTAAATCTTATAACTTTGAAACTAAAAGTCGTAGAAGTATGGGGTCAAGTGCAATGTGACCCTTGACCTTTGACCTTGAATATTTTTTAAGGTCAAAGGTCAAGGTCATTTCAAATTTTTAATTTTTTTCATTTTTTCTATCTTTCAAGCCATTTATGGATTCTTTTTGTATAAAAATTTACTTTAGAGAGTAAAATATAAAAATTAAAGAAATTTAAAGAAGGTGGAAAGACCTCTAATTGTTCGAGAACAATTAGTCTCCTAGTTATTATTTTTATTATTTTTCCGCCGGACGATTTTTTGTTTCAAGATCTATCGAAAAGATTTATAGTCCATGAGAATATTCTCTGTAAAAGATTTTTGCAGTTGACCCTGCTTAAATGAACTTTGACCCCTCAAAGAGTTATTACTCCTTTCGCAATAAAAGCTTGTTATCGCTACTCCTTCGAAACCGCAAATCCTAGAGATATGAAACCTTCACTAATGTCTTTGACTAATTTAGAAGACTCTTCAATCTATTCAATGTGAAAGTATTCGTCAACCCCTTCAATGAGTTATTGCCCCTGAAAGTTTTTAAAGTTTATGAAAAATAATTTTTTTTTTAAACGATAAGTCGTAGAGACATGGAACCAACTGAATTAGATTCTTTAACCTTAGACCTTGAAGTTTATGTCAAGGTCAAAGGTCAAGGTCATTCCAAATATGAGAAATTAAGCTCTTTTTATATTTCTTTTGTCTTTCAACATATACTTTATATCTTTACATCATTAACATGTACTCTTAAAACTATTTAAAATTTTTCATTCTTGTTCCCTAAGCTTAACCCCTTTAAAAGTTATTGCCCCTTGTGCGGAAAACCTTGTTATCGCTACTCCTCCGAAACCGTAAACCGTAGAAACACCAAACCTTCACTAATGTCTTTAGGGTCTCTAGACACAACTTCAATCTATTCAGTGGGAAAGGATCTGATGGCCCCTTATATGAGTTATCGCCCTTTAACATCTTTGTGCTTACTATTAAACCTTATAACTTCTAAAGTATAAGTCATAGAGGCATGGTGTTAATTGCAATGTGACCCTTGACCTTTGACCTTGAATATTTTTTCAAGGTCAAAGGTCAAGGTCACTAAAAATTATATATTTTTTTTTCTATTTTTTGCAATTTTTCAAACCATTTCTTGTTTCTTTTTATTTAAAATTTAATTACAAAGAGTAAATATAAAAAATTAAGAAATTTTAAAAAGGTGGAAAGACCTCTAATTGTTCGAGAACAATTAGTCTACTAGTTCTTTGAATATTTTCTTCTCAGCTCCTGGGTATTAAACAAACAAAGTACATAGTTATGATGAACAAGACTGCTTCTTCCAAAATTGTGAAATTCAAGGCACCTGGGTCAGGGTTTTGGTGTTAGGGTGGGGCTCTATTGAATATATAGTTAAAAAATGCATTAATTCTTTGAATATCTTCTCTGCTCCTGGGTATTATTCAAACAAACTACCATATATACTCACCTATAAGTCAGATTCTTGGGAGTTAAATTTTGAACCAAAAGTCAATTAATGTCAGACTTATAGGCAAGTCCTAGAAAATTTTGAATTCTTCTGTGAGAGGAAATATAGTAATATTGTAACAACTCAAGGCTAAAAAAAAATTAAATACTTGGTTCTCAGGCCAGTTTTCTCAAAAATAAATGCGGGAGGGAGGCTTTTTTTCCTTTTTATCTCCTAAAAAACACGCTTGATTTTTGGTTGTTTTTTTTTTTACGATTTCAAAACTAGCAATTTTTAATCAACAGTGCTTCAACATTGAGTGTAGAAATCAAGATCACATTTTTCCTGATTCTTTCTCTTTCATTTTTATCATTCAGATGAAACGACGGCATCCTACCAACCAGACATGTGTTAAACTTACAGAACCCAACACTTTTAGTGATGCATCTGGTCAATTGCTTATGTAACACAACTAATCTAAGAGTGTTTCAGCACTATAAATAGCGCTTATGATTTTATTAAACATTGTCATATTTATCAGTTTTTGGTTTACCCACACTAAATAGAATCTGAGAATCTTGCTGACGTCCAAGTTCTGAGGTTGAGGGATCCATCTTTGATAACATTATTGATCAAGTTCTAGCATGGAAAAGCCTTCAGAAACCCCCACTTTGTACCATGGAAGTATTACTAACAGTAAATTTCAGTTATAGCGAAGGGGACCTGTGAAATTACTTTGCTTTATCCGTATAAGGGATTCATTAAATTTATATAGCTGGGGATCCAAGAAAACTTCGTTATATCCATGAATTCACAATATCCGTGTTCGTACGAAATGAGTTTTACTGTACAGCCATTCCCTTATGAATTTGCACTGAAATCAATGCCATCATAAATAAATTTATTCTTGATGCCTTATCCTGTTAATTCGACAGATATATTTTGCGATTTTTAACTAGGCCAATAGTCTGGATCATCTTGATGTTTGTCAAATGTTTTACTGATTTCTAAAATGCAGTCAAAATGCAGTCGGGAATTCCATATTTTTATTGGCACAACACAAGCGCATGAGAGAAAATTTATTTTATTCATTTTAGGATAAAAATGGGTAATGCGCATTGTTGAATGAGATGTAGGCGTGCCTGAGAACCAAGTTATAAATTTTTTTAGGCCCAAATGATAATTTTTTTAAAAAATCAAAACTTAATCTAATGCAGAAAATGAAGATCTGAGGTCACTACATGCCTATAAGACAAGTACTTAGAGATTCAAATAATCTTATATTTGTTTAAATTGTTAAAAAAAGATTTAATATCAATGTCTTACCCAAAATATACTTAAAACACCGGAAATACAAAAGATTATTAATAAAAAAAATTGGTAACAGATTTGGCAAAAAAACTGCACCGACTTATAAGCGGGTCAATTATTGATTATATTCAATAGACCAATTTCTTTGAAAATATTCTTTTCTGCTCCTGGTTATAAAGCAAAGATACTAATGTAATGTTATGATGAGCAAGAGTGTTTCTTCTAGAATTGTGAGTTTCATGGCCCCTGGGTCAGATGTTCTGGTATAGGGGTAGGGCTCTATTGATAATATAGTGAAAATGCATTAATTGTATTAAATAATCCTGTCTGCTCCATAGTGTTGAGCAGATAAACAAAGTGCAAAGTTATGATGAACAAGGGTGCTTCTTACAAAATTTTTAAAACTTGTGTGGTCCCAGGGTCAGGGGTTCTGGTGTTTCTTGGATGGGGGGTGCTCTTTTAATAATTGTTATACAGTGTGTATATAGAGAAAATGTGTTAATTCTTTGAAAATTTCAACAAAGTGCACAGTTATGATGATGAGGGTACCTCTCCCAAATTTGTGAATTTCATGATCCTGGGTCATGGGTTCTGGTGTTAGGGTAGGGCTATGTTGAATCTATGGTAAAAATGCATTGTTTCTGTGAAATTCTTCTCTGCTCCAGGGCATATTGGAGGGAAACAGAGTAAAAGTTTAATATGCAAGAATATTTTTACCAGATATTTTAACATCTGGACCATTTGGTCAAGTGTTCTGGTCCTGGGCAGGGCTCTATTAATTATTTATTCTACTTAGAGAAGTTATTCTCTTTTGCCATTAACTTTTGATAATTAATAACTGAAAAAGAGTATTTGAAAGGTTAATAGAATCAGAAAATTATACAAGAATTTGTATTGTATAATACAAAAAGTAGTTTCATAGTTTTAATGATTAAGTAGTAGATTTGTACTTAATAGATAAATAAAAATGAGACAAAAATAGCTTATCTTATTAAATGTTCTTCAAAGACCAAGAGAGGCTAATGTGAGAAGTTATAATATGGGGTTAAAAAATAGTACAGAAGCACAAATAGTTTGTTGATAGTCTGCATGGTGATAGTGATAAATGGGTGAATTAGAACTTAATTTATGAGTGTTACTGAATAACAGACTAAAAATTATTTCATTGATCATGATTATCCTATTTCTCCTGCTTTTTGGGCAACAAAGCTTCATCTACCACAGTGACTTTTTTTTAATCTATGGATCCCCTGAATTGTTGTATTATACTCAGGTGACCATCAAGGCCCTTGGGCCTCTTGTCATAATTTCCTTACCTTGACCTTCCCCATGACTTTAACCTCTTTTTTCAAGATATTTTCATCAAAAAGTTACATATTTACCTTTCCAGGATCTTGAGACTACTGTTCCTTTATTTTTCAATTAATTGAGTTCAGTATACGTAAAAAATATATAAATTATTCCTATTTTCATCATTTTTTAACATGAAGATACTTTTTTTACATGTTGCAATACAAATGTACCTTGGATGGTGCATTTCTCCATGGGCATATTTCTAGTTTACCTATGTCCTGTCTTTAGTTGCATTACAGAGGGTAAAAGTCCCATTAACAGTAACTAGTAACATTAGTTTTTTCTGCTTAACAAGAACTTTTTTATTGGTCATCTGTTTGTAGCACCTCCTTATCCTCCTGGTGAAGTAAGGATCACAAGTTGTGGAGACTGGAAGTTAGGACTAAAGTGGACTGCCGGGTTTAACAATTTCCTTCCTATTATTAATTATACTATTGAATACAGTACACCTTTTCACTCAGATGAGTGGATCTTTCTGTATCAAACTTCAGATAACAGAACACAAATTAATGGTTTACCTCTTTCTGCTGGTGTAGAGTACAAGTTCAGAATTAAAGCATTAAATGTAAAGGGATTTAGTATTGCATCAAAACCAACAATCCTGTGTAAAACAGATGCAAAGAAACCAGCCAGACACCCAGATGGCGTGAAGATAAAGAATTCCAAAGAAGGATATCTGTTTATAGAATGGAAGGTAATGTTATTTAGCTCATTACCAAAAATTTTGTTTAACTTTTTAATTCTTTTTGAGGACTTTTCTAGCTGCCGTATTCTTTTCTTCTGATATTTCCGTATAGCAGGTTATTTTAGCGGGGTGCTAATTTTAGCTTGTTTTGGTAGTAGCCGGCTAAAATTATAACCGCTGAAATATTCTGTATTCTTTTTAGTGTTCTTTTTCAGAGTGTTCGAACCCTGTGTCTGCTAAAAAATATTACGCAAAATTATTGGCATACCTTTGAGCCAAATTTTACACCCGCCAAGAAAACCCACTATATGGTATATTTGAATCCCCTATATAAACTGTACACTTAGTAAGGTTCAGTGTAATCAGTTTACACCTGCAAAGGATGAAATTACACCATTCAGATGACAGAATGGTTACTGAATGTCCACTGAAAGATCACTAAAAAGTCACTGAAAAGATTCTTTCCCGTGACTTTTCCCTATTTCCAAGTCGAGGGTTTCTGATCCACTCTGCTCCACATAAGGCCTCGACAGAATAGACTGACTTTGACGGGGTTTACAATCACGCCATTTAGTGAGATTACACATTTTGAACTCTACTGACCTCTGCTATTGACCAATCAGAGTAAGCGATTTAAATAGAGAATGTGAGACGATATTAAAAGTTGGTAATAAATTCGGCATAACTTAAACTCCAAAGCTTAGACAATCCTTTAACCTTGGTTATTTTATGGTAAAGACGCTTTAGTTAGGACTAAATCTGTTTATGATTTAATTTCAGGTAAGATAATTCAATGTTTTTGATTGGCTCATGCAAACTCCAATGAGGCCAATCAGAGAGTGGATTTCTAATCCCGTCAAAGCCAGTGTATTCGGTCAAGAAACCCTTGACTTGAGAAAATGGACTTTTCATGATCTTTCAGTTACCATTCAGTCGACTGAGTGGCAGATACATTTCAGATGCCTTTCAGTTATCTCTCTGTTGTGTATTTTTTTATTTAATAATTGGCTTATTTTTTAACTAAGAAATTTTATTTCATGCTTTCCTATTATAGTGGTATTAAATTAATCTATTTTAAATTTTTTTAAAAAAATGAACCTAAATAAAATATACTTGTGGAAACTGAAGGTCTAACAGGGTTCCTTCCACTTGATAATCTGTAGCCTTATCCATTACACCATGACATCCTCTTCACTACCTGCTGGTATAAAATCAATAAATTTGTAAAAATTGAATTGGGACACCAAGGTCACCTGTTGTATTGAGGAGTGTGTGTATAAATCTTGTATACATTTTGTATATTTTATATTAATTGCATGTATTTTTGGGGCAGACTGATTTATTACACATCTCTTATGAGGATAATGATAATTATCGGCATAGGGCACCTGCATGCTTTTTAAAGAAATGATTTGAAATAAATCTTCATTTTTTAGAACATTCTAAATTCTCCATCTAAAAAATCATGTAAAATAATTTTAAAGTGATATTTTTTAAAAGCTAAAATGTCGTTTTACCCCACCCCAAAAAAAGTTTGGGGGTATACAGGAATCACCTTGTCTGTCTGTCTGTGCATGTCTGGTCCATATCTTCCTTATGGAGGAACATTAGAATCTACTATTTCAAAAAAAGATTGTTCATGACCTGAGGGTGTGTCATGACCTTCATACAAGGTCATTTGGACAAGTTCAAGGTCACTGAAAGAAAAAGTTCATAATCTGTGTCCGGTCCATATCTTTTTTATGGATAAACTTGGTAAGTTCCTATTTTACACAAAGATTGTTTATGACCTGAGGGTGTGTCCTGACCTTGACCCAAGGTCATTTGTGCAAGTTCAAAGTCACTGACAGAAAAAGTTCATAATTTGTGTCCTGTCCGTATCTTTCTTATGGAGAATAATGTTCAGAGTTTCCACTTCACACAAAGATTGCTTATGACCTGAGGGTGTGTCCTGACCTTGACCTATAGTCACTGTCGAAAAAATGGATAAATAATTCATCCATACTTTCCAAAAGAGAAATACTTGAAAAATTGTTACAGTAAAACTTCTCTAAACCGGCCAGCTGCCGGACTGAAAAAAATGGCTGGACTAGGGGGGTGGCCGGTTTACCGAAAATTTAGCATACTGAAGATCTGCAGATTTACAGTACTTGCAGAATTATAGTATTAATATAGTATTCATGGCTAATGTCGTAATAAACATTATACAACAACTTTTCAAGCTAAGTAATTTTGAGTAAGATTGACTTTAGAAAATTACACAAGCTGTACGTATCACTGCATGTGGAATTATCTGCCAGGTACTAGGAAAGGTATAAAATTGCTATCTCATATAATTGTCGGTCGTCAACACGTGATTAATTATCGGCGGGTACCTAATGTATACTGAAGGTCTAAAAATTCATGATCATTATTTAGTTAGTAAGGATAATTTCGACATACCTGTTGATTTTTTAAAGATTAATTTTTTTAAATAAGAACAGAAAAAAACCTATGGAAAGGTTCTTTATTTATCATTTGCAAAAAAACTATCTCCATACCTAAACTATCTACATGTATATGCCTATCGCTTAAGTCATTAATAAGGAACAAGGTATGGTCTCAATACAAATCTTGCACTGTATTTTTCATGTCATATTCTTTTCTGATTTACAACAGTCATATACTCAACTCATATTTAAGCCAGTTTCAAAACTTTTTGAAAACATTAAATTTTTAGGGCACAATAAAGCCAAAACCGTACCTTCTTCTTTGTTTTTACTTTAGTGAAAAGTAAATAATTAGAACATTTCTCAGAAAAATTCCTGTTTTTTTCATCACAAAATGTATATTTTGATAAACATTATTAGGGCTTTTCGCTTTCAGGCGAAAAGCCCTATTGTTTTCGTCTTTTTTATTATTATTATTATTATACTTAACACTTTTTTCGTTCAGCGTTTAAGGAGTACCTTTGAAAATAGGTATTTTGTTTTATAATCACTAAAAAGCTTAGATAAATGTCTCCCGTATGTAATGTTTTGAACTTCCGGTTTACTCACTTCCGGTTTCAACTAAAAAAAAATTGAAATTTCTAGAGAAGCTAAAATCTTTCTCATTTTTAATGACTAGACTCTCAAATTCAAGATATAAATTCTAGAGATCAATACCTACAAAAAAGTAAGCGACGGTGATTTTTGACCATAGATACTTTTTGAGATATGAGACTTCAAACATTGAAAAAGGGGGGATGAAATTTTTAAAAGTCGCAATTAAGGTTTGAAAATTATTTTGACCAATGAAATACGTTAAGACTAAAAAGTAGAACATATACTGTAAGTTTCATATAGATCCGAGCCGAACTTCCGGTTTTAGGGGTCTTTGAAAATTGTCTATGGGAGTTTCTATGTTAAATTGAAATCAGTCTTGGCACGTTTTCTCTTAAAATAATCAAGATATTCTTGTGAGATTTTAAGTGTAGAACGCCCTTGATATGGTTCCGACCTCATTAGGTCATGAAAAAGAAATTCGGGAAAATAAGGGATTTCTAGGGCCCAACATTGAAAACATACTTTTTCCTGTAATTTTTTTATTTCTTAATGAATTTCTAAACATTTTTCTATTCTGGGTTCAGATCAAAGAGAACAATCTAAAAATTATGGTCCGTGGGGTCACTTTTTGACCCCTTATAGGAGTTACAGAAGACTGAAATAATGTAATTTTTATTTATTTGAAAAATAATGGAGTAAGAGTTATCTCCCTTTGAATATCAGTTAACAGGTTTACATACTTTTCAGGTTTCAAGTTTGGTATGCATATGACAAGTACTTCCGGTTTTATGAATCTCTAAATTTGTCTATGGGAGTTCTTATGTTAAATGGAAAATTGCACATTTCACGATATCTCTTAAAGTAATCAAGATATTCTTGTGAGAATTGAGTTATATAATGACTGTGATATTGTTTCAACCCCTTTAGGGTTTGAAAATGAATTTCTGGAAAATAAGGGATTTCTAGGGACCAAAGTTGAAAACTGACCTTTGCCTATAAGTTTTTTAATTCTTAATGAATTTTTGAACTGTTTTTTATTCTGGGTTTAGCTTAAAGAGTGCAATCTAAAAATTATGGTCCGTGGGGTCACTTTTTGACCCCTTAGAGGAGTTACAGAGGACTGAAATAATGTAATTTTTTTTATTTCAAATATGATGGAGTAAGAGTTGTCTCCCTTTGCACATCTGTTGGTAGGCTTACATACTCTTTAGGTTTCAAGTTTGGTATGCATATGAAAAGTACTTCTGGTTTTATGAATCTCTGAATTTGTCTATGGGAGTTCCCATGTTAAATGGAAAAATGCACATGTCACGATATCTCCTAAACTAAATAAGATAATCTTGTGAAAATTGAGTGATATAATGACTTTGATAATGTTTCAACCCAGTAAGGGTCTGAAAATGAAATTCTTAAAATAAGGGATTTCTAGGGGCTAACATTGAAATCAGATTTTTCCATGTAACTTTTTTATTTCTCAATGAATTTTTGAACAGTTTTCGATTCCGAGTTCAGCATAAAGGGTACAGTTTAAAAATTATGGTCCGTGGGTCACTTTTTGACCCCTTATAGGTGTCTTAGAGACCTGATATATAGTAACCTTTAGTAATTTTCAAAATAACAATGTAAGAGTTACCCCCCTTTGCAGAGCTCTAGTGAGAACTACACACTCTTTAGGTTTCCATTTTTATAAGCTTCTGAAGACTTGATCCGGTTGGATTATTTCTTTTATGTTTTTCATTTTGTTAGAGTTATTGCTCTTTAAGATCCTTGTGATTTTAAGCGTCGAAAAGCCCTCCGTTTTTGTTGAACGACAAAAAAGGTCTAGTTGATTTTTTTCTCATCTTTTGTCTTTGTTCAGTGCCCAATTCTGAGGCCGCTTATGTCTATGTAAAAGTATGATGCAACATGGGCGCGATATTTTGTTTATTCATTATGTGTTTGGTATTTTATTAGGTTACCTGTGTCACTCAGGTGACCTATTGC